ATTTTAATAATGTAAATTATGTGAAAAATAATGCATTTTTCGAACCACCAAGCACGAGAGCATGTTCTAGTACACCCCCAAAACAAAATCAAGACTTTGTAAAAGAGCATAATAGGACCCCTTTAATACTGCAAATAATGACAGAATTGTCTCTACTTTTTAAAACTCTTAACTATAAGCTAGTCTTTTCTTATTTTTAATTTCGTCAGGCAACAGCGCTTAAAGTAATAAGTGCCAGCAAAATTCACTCAGTAGACTTTGATCTGTGCCAAAACAAACTTGTACTCACTCGGGACTGCAGTGACACAGGGATTAGTGGCTTTTGACTTGAAAAGCACATAGTAAATGTTCTTGTGCGTCATTTATTTAAATAGCATGTATGCAAAGGGTGAGATTCACACCCTCAGGGTGCACTAAATGCAAACGTAGAAAGACTGAAGTCTGATTTTTCACCTTTAATACGACTCTCTTCACTGTCTACACAGGTAGCATCTTAACTGAAAAGTGACTGATTTGAAAAAGTCATAATGCCACAAAATATATTTTCTTCTGTATTGTGACATACATCCAAGTTTGACAGATTATCAAAAAAGAAAAAAACTGTAGGGTGGGCACTCAGTTGTTGATTGGACGGAGGCAGATCTGAATGCAAACTTGCAGTCGATTGCAAAAGGGGGTGTGTTTAAGCTGACAAAATGAAGTCTGTCATATGTCACCAGAGAGAAGTCTATCCTTTCACTGGAAGATCAAGCTATGGCTATCTGATAAAAAAAACAAAAAAAAAACTATAAACTGATAAACTGTTCTCAATACATGATGCTCCAAACAAAAAAACAAAACAAAAAAAAAACAAAAAAAAATTATATATATATATATATATTGATGAAGGAGACTACTGGAGCCTATATGATGCCGTCTAGGTAGGCAGCTTACTAGGTTTCAGAATAGATATCAGGCAATCTTCACTGAATTCGGACTCACCTGCACAATGGGGTAATAACAGTAGTTCCAATACCAGAAGGTCTTAGGAAATGTACCAGTGAGATGGGACTCTGGTACGAAAGGATGGAATGTCTCTCTTTCTAAGGTGTCTCTGGAGTCTCCTGCCACAACGCCTATCTTCTCCATACACTGACCCAGAGCTAGGTCCTCCACTGAGCTAGTGTGAGTGCACACTTTTGTGCGAAAGCCCACAACAAACCTCCTCAGAGCCTCTTTGCTAAGCACGTAACCAGCACCGCCACTCATGTAGCCCTGTTTTACGTACGGCTTAAACCGCCGGCCGAAATACACCGGGTCCTCTGGAGAGTGGCTGGCCAGAATCCAGCGCAGGTTGTCGACGACCACGTAAGTGTCGTCATCCGCTTTGAGGAACCAGTCTGCCTCGTCCCCGTGCTTGTCCATGACGTAGTGGAAAGCACGAATGGTTTTCCAGTACAGCTGATCCCGACCTTCCTTGGTGTTTAAGCCAACCGTAGGAAAATCAGGGTCGTCCACAGAGCTTATGAAGACCACAATGTTGCAGTGGCGACTCCACGTGGCTTTCACGTGCCGAGCTTTCTTCTCAAGGTTATTAGGGCCGGTCATGACCCAACACAAAATGCGTACACGCTTATAGAGAGCGTCAGCCAGAGTGCCATCCTCACCTACAAGAGACAGACAATGATTACTCAGAAAAATACTCAAAACAAACCAAAATCACATGCTACAAAGTAGATAAGAATATTTTGAATGTGAAAAATGCTAGAGAGAATGAAAATTCATTTGTCAAAATTAGTGCTGTCAAACGATTAATCGCGATAAAACTTTTTGTTTGCATAATGTGTGTTCTGTGTATATTTATGATGTATATATAAATACACACACAGTATATATTTTGAAAATATTTACATGTCTATATTTATATTCATATAATTTATATTATAAATAAATATATTTAATATATAAAAATACCGTATTTTTCTGAAATATATACATGTATGTGTGTGTATTTATATATACATAATAAATATACACGGTACACATACATATATTATGTAAACAAAAACTTTTATTTTGGATGCGATTTATCGCAATTAATCATTTGACAGCACAATGCAGGACCTTTTAAAGTGATAGTTTACTGAAAAATGAAAATTCTGTCATCGTTGTCAACCTAATGTCATTCCGAGGCAATAAGACTTTAGTTCATCTTCTGGAACATAAATGAAGATTGTTCTCTCATTTTTTCCATCCATTGAAAACATCAAAAGTACAAGATTACACTGTAAAAGTAATTCAAATGAATTGTGCTTTTTAAGTCTTCTAAAATTGAAGTGTAAATATTTTATTCATATTCACATATAAACATTGGTCAATGTACATACATAGATCACATCAAATATTGTCATTGGCAGCTCAACCGTAGGTGCTGAATAAAATGTGAATAAACTATTTAGGCTTAAATGTGAATAAAAGCCTAAGTTAAATCTTTTCATCACATAGTAAATGTGTCTCTTTAGGAGACTTGGATTAAACCACTCGACTCATATGGATTACGTCATTTAAAATGTTTTTATTGAATAAAGTTTTAGTTGCGGAGACTTTCAATGGACAGACATTAAAAATATCTTAATTTGTGTTTCAAAGATGAAGAACGACATAAGGGTGTGAGTAAATGATGACATTTTTTTATTTTGGCGAATGAACTGCCTTTAACTGAAAAATTTGTGTTTACTATTGTCATTTTGCATTATTGACACACTATTTTCCTAATTAATGCTGTTCAGTTGCTTTGACACAATCTGTATTGTTAAAAGCGCTATATAAATAAAAGTGACTTGACTCACCATACTGTGATGATGCCGTGTCCTGGCCGGAGCGATGATTCAAAAACATGAAAACCCATTATAAACGAGGCATTTGCTGCATCCAGTGGGGACATAATTATGGATTATAATGACTTATACTGTCTTTTTACGCGTTGCGTTGCATCGCGCCGCGTAAACATAAAACCATGTCTGCATTTGTGATCGGAGAAATGACAAACAGCAAGCCCTACTCTACACTGCCCAAAAAACTTGCTTTAAATATATAAAATATAAAAACGCTTTAAATATTAAAAAAAACGTACTTACAGTCTATGAGTCAGAACAGCCGGCATTGTAGTCTACTCTACCAAGATCAGGAAACAGTCCTTAACTTTTATAAAGAATATCTCTTTGGATTTGAGACTTTAATCTTTGCAATTTTACAGATCTTCTTTATGCACCAAGAGCTTGTAACACTCCAAAGAGAAAGGAAAAATTGAAATCGCATCATATGACCCTTTTAAAATGAACTAGGCAAAGCCAAAAAGCTTTTAAAAATGTTTATAAACACTTAAGAAATCGTTTTCTATCAAGTATGGAATACCATTATCTGTTTAAATTTGTGTCAAATATTTATTCATAAAATTTAGAGCCAGCATCTGATAGTCCACAGTTTATTACTTTTGGGATAGTTTACTGATAACCAACTGGTGATAAAACCTTTCTGTAAACTTTAACAAGGACAACACATAAGATGTGAGCCCAAAATTAAAAGCAAAGTACATCTCTCCAGGGAGTATACACAGTCAGATGCAAACATGCCCATAAAGAGTTCCTCACACATAGAAGGCTTGGAACAGGTTAACTGTTTGTTCAATTGTAGTATCAGGGTATGAAATTATATCCACAAATCATATCAATAAAAGGGTGTAAAAGCTGAAGCACTGTATATACATCATCTGGCTTTACCAGTCTAACACACCTCTTTTGGGAATGTCTTTATTTATTTTTACATTAACTGACAGATTCACAAAATACTTGTTCTTTGTTGATCATAAGACCTGACAAACAACATATTTCTAAAAAAAAAAATTTAATATGACTGTAATTTAGGGGATCATTTCCATATTATTGTTTCCAACAAAACCATGCAAAACAAGTTGTACAGGTGAAACAACAGAGCACAAGGAATGTATTTTATTTAAATGCTATTTGAGTTATTCAGGCCCGATACACACAATCACCTTATATGCTTAAGGACAAAAAACAAAGATTCAAATTCTGCCATCATTTACTCACCTCATGTTGTACCAAACCTGTATGACTTGATTTCCTACTATTCACTTGCATTTCATGTTTTGTCATTCTGCCTATTATCTTCTTTCAGGTTCCAAATATGACAGTCATAAAGGTTTGGTTCATTTCTGGGCCATGGATCGATTTAATATACACTGTGGCACTTTATAGATACATAGTTTCACTTGTAGTGCTCATACTATGAATATATTGTGTTTGCTTATTATAAGCATTCATTTCTACATTGTATTTACCTGTATGGTGAGGGTGATTGAGGTTGAAGAGAGCCAACCTCTCCTTCTTCCAGTTCTTGTTTTCTTCTTCAACCATCTCCAGCGGGCTTTTCTTGTGGGCCTCGGGCTCAACAGACCCCACGTTCCGCGTGAACCCAACCTGACGCAGGAGCACGTACAGGGTGCACGTGCCCACCACAAAGCCCACGTAGAACGCGGAGCGCGCGCCGAGAGCTTTCATCACGAGCTCTGTATGCAGAGACTCTCACCTCAGAGTGACTATTTAGAAGACAGACAGAAACACAAAACCACTAACTACAACCAGCAGAGGACGGCGCAGTGTTCGTCAAACCTGTCAATGGGCTACGTTCACGATTCAGATCTCATTAATACAAATAAATAAATAAAAGAAAATTCGAAAATAAACCCGATGTTATGCGCGTAGAGTCTGCGTGACAGCAGCTCCATGATCTATGACTGATTATGACAACACTGCGATAGAAAACAGCATGCGTCGTCATACCTGGATACAACTAATGACAGCTAAACGTCTACACTGGAAAATTATGCTGGATTACATTTTTTACATTGGGAAATTAGTTTAAATTTAGACAACACTATCAGGCGTTGTGTAATTGGCGTTCATCCAATAATCAATTTGTCTTTAGTTCTCCTGACAAGTTTGAGACGTAAAATATACAAGATCGTCATTTAAAAAATGTCAACTGTTTACTAGCACAATAGTAGTGAACTAAGGGGGCCTAATTGTATTAAATAACTAAACCCTAAAATGTTTAGACGACATACAGAAAATACGAAAGTGACATCATCAACTGTTGCTTTTGTTATTATTGAAGAACATACACATTTTGAATGACAAAATTAATTGTAATCGATGAACACTTTTTTTCTATTTCTGATTTTAAAAAAAGTTTTAAAACAGGCAGCTTTGTCAAGATTACAGCAGAAGTACCAGAGCAAATCTTTGAGCCTTTCTTAGGTAACAAGGTGACATATATAATCTTACCAGACAGCTTATTTCCTCCATAAAAGAAGTGAGAAAAACTGCAGGATTCGGCACTGAGGCCATTTCAGTCCAACTCAGAGCTAGCATAACAGCATAGCTGTGGTTTTCAACTTAAATCCAAGAAATCTGACAGCTTAATCATGTACATCGGCTTCAAAATCATGTCCTTGCTATTTTCTGACCCATACAAATTTGCCTTGGGGGATAATATTAGGTTTTACTTCAAGCTAACTAGCAACGTGCTTCCTATCTCTTCCTATGTTAACTGAATGTTGTTCACCACCAAGTAAAAGCCGAGAGGTATGGGGGCGGTTCAGTTCGGTATTATAATTAGCCGACCCTTTTCAGAGCTACTCCCTGTCAAACTTTGTTTCGTGGACAGTGACACACACCCATCCCACTAAGTTGTGTCGCTTTTATTTCAACAACAAAAAAAAGGAAATCTTTTCGACTACACCATTCTCGAAACGATTGAGGAACTGTGAAATGTGAACTGTGAACTCAACTGTTCGCGTCACAACTAATACAAGACATACGGAAGCGCATTTGATTGGATGAATCGACTGTCAATCTTAGGCTAAACGATGATGTCATTTGAACGGCGGGTTATTATTGGACCACATGTATCCAACCGTGGAACACATTCCGGCAAGTGAAGGCAGGGAGCCAAAAGAATCACGTCGAGAAAAGTTTGAAAGATTCTTGTGATCGACATTAATTACGCCTAGCCTAGCCGGTTGTAATCGGGTGAAGGTTTGAGAGCGTTCAAGTCGTGTCGTGTCTGCTTCCTCAAATGCTTATGAGCACAACCCTATGCGAAAATTAACAAAATTTATAAGTAATTTTAATAACCTTTTTTTTTTTTTTTTTCCAAATCAAGCATTATTAACTGATGTATAAATTATGTATCCAAATAATCAATGTTATGTGATTTATTACTTATTGATTTATGCTTCTTATAATAATCCTAATCCTATATTCATATTCAAATACTGTGATTCATTTATGTTTATCTTTTACTTTGTTTGATTTATGTTCTTATGTGATATTTGTAGTATTCTCCAAAATTATGTATGTTATGCACATTTTATATGTTTGAAAGTTACATCATCTGCTGGTGTTCTGTTAGATATTGGACATCTTTCAACTACTGCCTGAGTAATGTTTCTCAGAATTAGTCATTAATGGTACTAGATGTTCTCTTCTAGAATCTGTTTTTTTGTAATATGTAAAATATGATATTTAAAACAAAGTGCTTATTTTGCTAAATTTGTTCTAAAGATGTGGAAACTATATCTAACCACACATCTATTTTTAACCACAACATTTGACTGGTCACCATGACCTAGCCTAACCTGGGGCAAGTTCAAGCTCAAACCGGTGTGCACTGTTTTGCTACGGTTTCCGGTTTGAACGACATGTTTCCTGGCAACGGTGTGCAACGGGGTTTGAGATGCGTTTTCTCTTGTTTGGTGGTAACCGTTTACAATTATTTAGATGCGTGTTTAAGTTTCAGCCCCTTTTAAGGTGATTTTTGATTCTTTGATGATTCTCAAAGGTTGTGGTTAAGTGATGTGAAATACTGCCAATCTTTTCTTTCCTCTCTCTTTTTCTTACTTTGCTTCATTCTGTATGTGTTTTGCTTAGTTAGTTATATGTTATATATAGTTTCATTTATTAAATCCCTTATATTCACAACTGATTGTCTCTGTTTGCTGCTCACAATTCGAAGTCAATGAATGTGTGAACCCTTGCTACATTTTGCTAAATTACTGCTAGCACTGCACAAAGAAGGACAGATTATTCTTCCTTGGCCAGGAAAATAATCTTTCTTTGAATTGATAAATGATTATTTTGTCTGCTCGGTGGACGGACAGATCAAGTAATGGTAATATTGATTCTGCTACAGTTAATTCAAAGATCTAATCTAAATATTTATTATGAATCATAACCAGTTATAATTCGTCATAAATATTTCCCTTTTTGAGTTGAAAAACCCTACAAAGAACACAAAGAATGGCCTTCTCAGCTGCCATAGTTGCAACTCTTGCGTCATCAGAACAGTGTGTTCAACGCACCACTGTTTCCGTTTAAAAAACGTTTTGCGCCGTTTTTGTCGGGGCTGAACGCAGCCCTGATCTGTAGTCGATACAACAACATGTGACATAATGAATACGTCTATTTGACCTTTTCTTATTAGACAAACACCAATTTGGGAGGATGTAAGTTTCCTGCATATTCCTTGTACCTACTCTGATTCTTAATTTTTTTCACACTTTCCTTTACTTCTTTACTACTACTTCTCCCTTCTTCTGCTTTTTTTCTTTTCTTGTAATCCGCAGATATCGTTATTTTTTTAGCTTTTCTTCTGACTTTCCCTACTTCATCTATTAGATACAATACTTTGGAACACTTTTCACTTGTTATAAATTATTGACCTAAATAATGCTTCTTTTAAAATGTATCTCTGATATAGGCATTTACTCAACTCCCTGGATCTCACTGCAGCAAGCTTTTCATTTGAAAGCTGTCAGAAACGGGGGTATATTTTGTAATGATTGTATATTAACTTTTATTTATATGAATATACTAGCTGTTGTTATATTATATATTAACAATACAGTTGTGACCAGAATGAAAAGGCGTTTTGTCACAATGCTCAGAAGACACGATGTGAGCTTGTAATTTGAATGTGTGAGACTTCAAGGTTATTTAACATTGTTTAAACCTATGAATTATTATTTTTATTGTAGACCACAGGATATCGTAAATTTTATTGTTCAGTCATCGCTCCCACGCATGCATTTTTAACAGGTTTCTGAGAAACATTTCTTTAGTAGTACCAAAATGTACAGTTGTGCATCTCGTGGTGACCTTTGAAAACCCAAAGCTGTTGTAAGCGATTTTTCTGAGCCGCTGAAAATTTGACCAACAATTACCCAGCGTTCCATTGTTTGGACAAACAAGTAGTTTTGTTTAGTCTAGTTTTGATGTACTCTGCTTGACTGAAACCTTATTCAAAACTGAAAAAGTATTCAGACTCTTTGCTCAGTATTTAGTAGAAGCACCCTTTTGTCCCAATAAGACTCATGGCTGTATTAGATCAAATGGGTGCTTCTACTAAATACTGAGCATTTTTCAGTTTTTCTTTTTTAATAAATTTGCAAAAATGTCAACAATTCTGTGTTTTTCTGTCAATATGGGGTGCTGTGTGTACATTAATGAGGAAAAAAAATTAACTTAAATGATTTTAGCAAATGGCTGCAATATAACAAAGAGTGAAAAATTTAAGGGGGTCTGAATACTTTCCGTACCCACTGTATGCGGACTGATATCTAACGTTTTTTTTAATTTTTATTCTTTTCACATTTAGAGTTTATTCAATAGAAATTGAATAAAACGTCAACAATAAAAACAGCTAGCTAGTTTAACTGATTATCTTAAAAGTCCGTAGATATTGCTATTATTTAATACGGCTGTTAACACGTTCTCCGACAAGCGGAAGCGATGAGACCTGTTTTCCGGGTTTGGTCAGGTGATGTTCGACATATACCCTATATGGGGGTGGGGTCCCCCTCAGGGTAGAAATAGCGGTCGGGGGGCACACAGACCGGTGTACCGACGAAACATGCTACCTATCAGATTGTGTTACCAAACATATATTTGCATTGTTTTAAGGGTAAGTTTAGGGTAAGGGTAGGTGTGGACGTGTAGGTTTAGTGTAGGGGTAACAGGTATGGACATTAAAAAAAGCCTCAAACCACATGAATAAAATGCTGGTAGCACAATCTGATAGGTAGCATTTTTCGCTATTGATTTGTGCTACCTATCTTTTTAATGGGAGGTAGCACAATCTGATAGGTAGCATTTTTCGCTATTGATTTGTGCTACCTATCTTTTTAATGGGAGGTAGCACAATCTGATAGGTAGCATTTTTCGCTATTGATTTGTGCTACCTATCTTTTTAATGGGAGGTAGCACAATCTGATAGGTAGCATTTTTCGCTATTGATTTGTGCTACCTATCTTTTTAATGGGAGGTAGCACAATCTGATAGGTAGCATTTTTCGCTATTGATTTGTGCTACCTATCTTTTTAATGGGAGGTAGCACAATCTGATAGGTAGCATTTTTCGCTATTGATTTGTGCTACCTATCTTTTTAATGGGAGGTAGCACAATCTGAGCGGGGTAGCACAAATCGCCAGAACACCAGACCGAAAGGGCACGTGTCGGCAATTAAAGGAGCAGGGGCTTGAAACCACAACTAGTGAACTGGCAAATTACAGACCCATTTCAAATCTTCCGTTTATGTCTAAAATTTTAGAAAAAGTTGTGTCTGCTCAATTGTGCTCCTTCTTGCAAAAAATGATCTCTATGAAGAATTTAAGTCAGCACTGTAAAAAATGAGTTTGGTGTTTGTGTGAATGACACTGTGCACCTTCTATATATGTTATTATTTAAAAGCTGCTTGTGATGGGCTTTGGTTCATCATGTGACTTTCTCATCACCACCTGCATTTGGTGGTTATCAGTGTATTACAAAGGTACAAAACAGATTTTAGTACTTCAATAGGTTGGTATATAATAAAATTTTATCAGTTAATGAAATTACGGTATTTAACTGTAAATTTAAGTTAAAACCGTAAAACCTAAAACGTTGCTACCGTATTTTTTACGGTAAAATTCCGGCAACCACAGCTGCCGGTTTTCTACCGTAAATTTTACGGATTTTTTTTACAGTGAGGTTTTAGGCCCCACCATAGCACAGAAACTGCACTTGTTAAAATTACAAATGACTTGCTTCTTGCGTCAGACCAAGGCTGCATCTCATTTCTGGTTTTACTTGATCTTAGTGCTGTGTTCAACACTAAAGATCATGACATACTCATAGATCGATTACAAAACTATACGGACATTCAAGGGCAGGCTTTAATATGGTTTAGATCCTACCGGTCCGATCGCTACCACTTTGTTTATTTAAACGAGTCATCTCAGTTATCACCAGTAAAGTATGGAGTGCCACAAGGATCTGTCCTAGGTCCTCTGCTATTTTCAATATACATGTTGCCCCTTGGTAATATTATTAGAAAATACGGGATTAGTTTCCACTGTTAAGCTGATGATACTCAACTATATATCTCAACAAGACCAGATGAAACTACTAAATTATCTAAGCTAACAGAGTGCGTTAAAAATGTAAAAGATTGGATGACCAATAATTTTCTCCTATTAAATTCGGATAAGACAGAGATATTACTTATTAGACCAAAAAACAGTACACAGAATCTCGTGGATTACAATTTGCAACTAGACGGATGTACAGTTACTTCCTCTACAGTCAAAAATCTGGGTGTTATATCAGATAGCAACTTGTATTTTGAAAATCATATTTCCCATGTTACAAAAACAGCATTCTTCCATCTTAGAAACATTGCCAAGTTACGAAATATGTTACCTGTTTCTGATGCAGAAAAGCTAGTTCGTGCATTC